CCCGTCCTAATTAAGCAAATCTTGGGTTAGGCGCAGGCGTATTTTTAACTGGCATCCCAGTCAATTCTGAGGCACAGCCATGTTTGGGCCACTTGCATGTATGTGTTAAATAGACACAGACCAATGCTCAGGTATGGATATGTGTATATTCCCGCCTTTCACAAAGGGGCTCTTTCTAGGTCCAGATGTGGCGAGTCCCATTCCCAAAAGCAGGAGAGCGCACTGTCCGGCCCAGAGGCTACCAGCCACCTGAGGCTCCGAGCCCCTGAAATTGGCCTGAAATTGGGCTATGAGCTGAGATGTGCGATCAGTGTCAAGTAACACCCGATTTCAAACACTCAGGGCTGGGGGCGGGGGAGAATGTAAGGTATTTTTAATGTGACTACTAGAAAAATTAAATTACATTTGTGGCTCACAATCCATTTCTGTTGGGCAGCACTGGTTAGAGGATGCAGATACCAAGAACAGGGGGCGGGGAGTGGAAAAAAAGCATCGCAGGGCCAGGGGAAGACGCGTTGACCCCAGCGTTCTAACAGCGCTCCTGGCAGCTTCGCCTGGAAAAGACACCCTCAGCCACAGCCACTGCACAGCCGCCGCAGCTCATTCATGAATGAGTTCCCAACTTGAGTCCAAGCCAACTACAAACACTCGGGGAACGTCCTCTCTCCTAGTAGGCTGAGTGTGAAGCAGGCAGGGTGCTAGCCACTGGCTAGAATGCAGAGGGCAATCTCACGTAGGAAAGAGTGTGGCTACTACAAATGGTTGTAGGTGTGTGAGCCACCCACCGGGACCTGCTTGACCGGTACCATAGCTCAACTATTGTACTTTTGCAACAGAGAAAAACTGCTGATAATGAAACAAAACTGTGTCTGCTGTTCATTTAGTTATTAGAATAAGAAAGAGTGTGTTCACATAGCCACCCTGAAATACCAGTGCTGTGCCCAAGAAGGAAAGGCAGAGCTAGCCTTCTCAGCGATCAAGTAGAGTCCTCCGGGCCGGCAGCACCGGCCTCATCAGGGGACATGGCATGAAGGGCAAAATCTCAGGTCCCTCCCAAACCTCAGGATTCGGAAACATCCGAATCTGCAGAGAATCTTTATAAGAGTTTATTTCAGTCAAACTGAGGACATATGCTGGGAGCAAGATCCCCAGTGCTCCGGAGAAGAGCCCTTCGAAGCTTCGTTTATGCATGTGAAATTAAGGCTGGAGCATAAGGAAGATTAGACGGAGGTGGCAGAAAGCAAGGCGGGACTGGATTACAGGAGAGCCACCAAGATCATGGGCTCTTGGTTAGTACCCCCTATGAGGGGTATTGTTTCTGGCATTTCAAAGGTGGGTTAACCTAGATGCACAAGAACAATGGACAGGATGGCTTGAAACCTTTCACTGAAGAAGGTATAGTTGTGGGTTGTGACTACCCACTATGACTGCCCAGTTAGGAATCTATGACCAGATCACCCTGGGAGGTTACTTCCATAGAATCCCTTCTTTCATCCACAGGATGCACTGAGAACCAATGAGCTAGAGAAAGAGGAGGCCATAGAAAGGGAAGCCCCAAGGGCATTGAAAGAAATGGATGGGAGTTGCCCTCTGTCACTCTCTTACTGCACCTGCTATCATTGGGAAGCTGTGTGGCGAGCCATTTAGGAGACTAGACTAGACTTTGGAGTTAGGACTACCTGGGGTCACAGTCAAGCTCCATTCCCCTCTGCGTGGCCTGGGATAGTTACTTTTCTGAGCCTGTTGTGCCATCTGAAAGATGAGGAAATTAATATATCCTGTGTATGGTTATTAAATGAACGAATGCATGGAAAAGGTTGCCCATGGCCTGACCTGCGTGGCTCAGTGGTTGAGCATCAACCTATGAACCAGGAGGTCTTGGTTGGATTCCTGAAGGTCACATGCCTGGGTTGAGAGCTCGATCCCCAGTGTGGGGCATGCAGGAGGCAGCCGATCAATGGTTCTCTCTCATCATTGATGTTTTTTTTTTTTTTTTATCATTGATGTTTCTATCTCTCTCCCTCCCCCTTCCTCTCTGAAATCAATAAAAATATATTAAAAAAAGAAAAGGCTGCCCCTGGCTCTTGGTACAGAACGTGAGATGAAGACTAGTTACATGATAGTAACGCTAGGACATCAGCTCCCGTGGTATCACTCTGTCCATTTTATCTTATCTGTGCCCTCAGCACACTAGTTTTGTATGGAAAGTTCTTATTTTCTATTATTAAACATGAATCTACAACCATGTCATCTTATCTCATTCTGGCATAATTGACTCATTAAAGCTTTATCTCCTCGGTCTTACTGAATCAGGTTTGACCTCGTGACCTCCTCCCTTGTTTGGGAGGGTTCCTGCCTACCTTGCCTCTCACATGATGGCCCCAGAGGCTGGTTCCATCAAGTGAAACCAGTTGGCCTGGTATTTGTGCTCACCCCTGGGTCTGCTGCTCTTCTGAGTCTATCTCACCAAATGCATGCTGCCTTTATCGCGTGGCTGTCAGCTGACACGGCTGTGACTTGGGGACACGGGAGGACCCGCCAGGGTCCAGGAGCAGCAGGCCTTGCTTGTGGTTCCCCCCTGGGTCTCTGAAGGAGCATCGCAGGGAAGAAGTCACGTATCAGGAAACATTGCCAACGGATCTGTGATGGGCTGAGTCAACAGAAACACCCAGAGCAGGCCAAATTAGGAATCTGAAACCAAGAATCCCTGGTTTCCTCTGTCAGGGAGGGAGTGTTTACCACAAGGAACTACTTTGCATAGGGGCAATATCGCTGGTGCTAGTGCTTTCCTGCCCGCAGGGAGCTCAGGTGAACGA